CAACAATGTCAAATAAATACACAAACGCCTTGCATTAGACAGAGCCCCTCCTGTGCGCTGCAAACAGAACCGTGTATTTTACAGAAGATGAAAGCTCCTATACAGAACAGGTGACTCAGCTTCCAGCTTGGCAGAGAAATCCCCCGAGACCTTTGACCTCCTAATCGTTGAGCAGCGCTTATAGTAGGAGATCTGCCCCAGGCTATTAGTGAGATTAGTGTCACACAGATTTGGAAACAGGCCAAGCCTATATATGTACTTCATGGCATTCTCAGCATTTATTACTTTGCACCCGACACATGTTGATATCTGATATGTGACAAATAGCATGAGGCCATACTATGTACATTTGGTCTGTGTTGAGCTGGCTGAAGGTGGGCATGCCCTTGATGGGAAATGGGACATGTTTGATAGTTTGAAACGTGACAATACTGCAGAAGCTCTTACAGTGGCTTTTATTTTTTTTACATTTATTTTATTATGAGGACAGAAAAAAAAAACGTTATTCAATATAATCTGTAATTTATCTAAAAAACAAGGTTTGCTCTAACGTTTTCGTTGTTGCAAATACGTATGGAGAAAGTCCTGATTTGATATTTTTTGTTTTCGTTTCTAAAAGGAGCCGTCCTCACCTGTGGTCCTCACGTTGACCGCCCCTCTGTTTGTGCACCGGAGCACGCCGGGTAACAAAACAAGCAAACCTTCTAGAGCAAAAACAATCCCGACAATCGTAAAGCCGATCAAGAAAGCTAGCAAAAGTTAGCAAGCACCACTTGAAACTTCCGGGTTTGGCTTTCAAAATAATTCTAAAATAAATAAAACTATACAAGACAAGCAAAGTGTTCAAGCTGGACAATACGTATAAAAAACATATTCATAAACACCTTCTAAGAAAGAACAATGGGATTAACCTTAATTGATATGCAATAATCTCTGTCAGAATACTCCCACCATAATATATACAAATAAATGATTTTATTGGTGAAATGTACAGCTGTTATAAAGCAACATGTATTCACAAATAAAAAGACGAAATGGCTCGATGCTACAATCAATCAACTTTATTTCTATAGCACATTTTAAAAACCGCAGGGGTAGCCAAAGGGCTGTACAATAAGATAAAAAAAAAAAACATAAAAAAGATTAAGACAATAAAAACATACAAAACATACCAAAAGAAACATAAAAACAGACACATACCAACAAAGTCCATGCTCAATAATCCAGGTATACAATCCAACAATTTTTAGTCAGGTCATCTGGACAGTTTCTTTCTACTTTTTTTTGTTGTTGTTGTTGAAACGTTTCACCTTCTATCCAGAAGGCTTCATCAGTCAAAGAAACACACAACACAAAACTGAGTCTTCCCCCAAACAGCTTACTCCAAAGTGGAACAAACCAGTTATGTTTGTGCTAAGATGGTGTCTTTGGCATGCCCCCTCCTCCGGTGCCGGCCCTCTTCCTCGTCGACAGTCATGTCAAACTGCTTCAAAAACCAACAAAGTCCATGCTCAATAACCCAGGTATACAATCCAACAATTTTCAGTCAGGTCATCTGGACAGTTTCCTTCTTTCTTTCTTTTTTTTTGTGCTGAAACGTTTCACCTTCCATCCAGAAGGCTTCATCAGTCAAGTTTCACGGCAGGTGTGTTTTTAAGGTGAAGATCATGTATTAAAAGCCAAAAAAATAAAAGTGTGTTTTTAAAAGAGATTTAAAAACAGGAAGCGATGAGGCCTGTCTGACACTCAAGGGTATGTTGTCCCATAACTTGGGAGCAGCAACAGCAAACGCTCTGTCACCTCTGAGCTTCAGCCTGGTTTTAGGGACTGTCAGCAGCAACCGATCAGCTGATCATAGGGATCGAGGTGGGCAGTAAAGCTGAAGCAGCTCCGACAGATATGGTGGGGCAAGGTTGTTCAGGTATTTAAAAACAAACAGCAAAAGCTTAAAATTAATTCTGTAGTGCACAGGGAGCCAATGAAGGGACGCCAGGATGGGAGTAATATTCTCGCGCCTACGGGCCTGAGTTAGTAGGCGAGCACCAGAGTTCTGCACAAGCCACAGACAGGCAAGAGAGGCCTGGCTAATGCCTACATACAGCGCACTGCAGTAGTCAAGACGAGCTGTGATAAATGAGTGGATTAATTTCTCCAAGTCAGGTCTTGATAAGATTGGTTTCACTTTGCTATTTGGCGAAGTTGATAAAAACTTTTCTGAACAACACTGCTGATGTATTTTTCAAATGTAAAATCAGACTCAAACTTCACCCCCAGATTGGTGACACAGTCCCTGAGATAAAATGACAGTGAGCCAAGATCTACACTGGGAGAGGAACAGCAACTCGGTCCAAACAGCATAACTTCAGTCTTGTTCTCATTGAGACTAAGCAAGTTAAGAGAAAAACATGCCTTAATATCATTAAGGCAGTGTGTAAGTTGCTGGACTGTGTTGTTTGGTGCCAAAGGAAAATAAATCTGGCAATCATCAGCACAGAAGTGAAATGAAATACCATGTTTCCTAAAAACAGAGCCGAGGGGGAGTAGGTAAAGAGCAAATAAAAGAGGGCCAAGGATTGAGCCCTGGGGGACACCATGTGGAAGAGGAATACAATGGCTCAAATCCAGCTAGTTAGAATAAATAAATTGGCTTGAAAATGACAAAGTCCATGCTCAATGGCTTGAAAATGGTTTCTGTTGTCTTAGTATGGAGCGTCACATCGTTATTGCTGTTGGTCCAAAGTAATTTTGTCAATTTAATCTCTAATTTGACACAAATTAGCTAAAAAAAAAAAATCTGGCAACTATTATAATACTGAAGCAATGGCAAAGAACAGCGGAGCATGCCACATGGCCACTGAATTTTTAAAATACTGCATACACCTGGTCTTGTAATCCTGAGGTCCAGGCTGTTACACAAAGGGGATCAAGCTTTTACAGTTGTAGTTCCTAATTTATGGTCCTTACATGTCAGTCTCATGGGAGTCATTTTAAAACCCATTTGTACTCATTGGATTTTAATTCAGTTTGAGAGTTTAATATTTTTTGTTTCTTTTCTGTGTTAATATTTTTAGATACTTTGCTACCTTATAAGATACCTAAACATTACTTGTACTATCAAAGTTCATGTTCAAGAATCCAGGTAAAAAAAAAAATCCACAAAGTTCAGTCAGGTTCTCTGGATGGTTTCTATTTTTGTTGTTGAAATGTTTCATCCTTCATCCAAAGGACTTTGTCAGTCCGAAGAACCACAACAAACTCAGCCCCCCAAGCAGCACACTTTGGCTATAGGAGTCAACGGGGGAGAGGGCGGACTCCAGAAACCATCTTATCACATCAAACTGATTGGTCCACTATGTCAGTGTGCTGCTTGTGGGACTGAGTTTATCACGGCTCCTTGGACTGATGAAGTCCTTTGTATGAAAGACGAAACGTTTCAACAACAACAACAAAAAACAACGTCCAGAGGACCTGACTTAACTTTGTTGGATTACTTGTGCTAGTTTTATATCACATGAGCTAATATATTCAATTTTCTACTTTTTCATGCACTGCACACTGGTCAACGGTAGTTGTTTTATATGTGGCTAATAAACAAACTTTACTTGGTTTCGTATAAACATTTGAAGAAAGCAAATAAACGTTGGAAGACAGCAGTTACATTTTAATGTCTTTCAGAAATCTTATTATTCTTTCATCTTTTCCCTTTTCAGGGGTCGCCACAGCGAGTCATCCTCGTCCACCTCACTCTGTCCTCACTCCAACTACCTCCATGTCCTCTCTAACTGCATCCATATATCTCCTCTTTGTCTTTTTCCTGGTAGCTGCATTTCTAACGTCCTTCTACTAATATACCCACTGTCCCTCTGGACATAATAATAATAATGTGTATGTATTGTCATCATTGTATGTTTCCATACAATGGCGAGGTTGGCTCTCTGCATTTGGCCCATCCATGGCCAGGTGGGGTGGTGGGTGGCTGTTGGGGGTGGCCTGCTCAAGGACACCACGAGATGTGCAATGACTGAGGATTGAACCCGGGACCTTCGGGTCCCGAGTTGGCTGCCCTGCCTCTACATCATCTTGGCCCACCTTGGACATTCATTCATTCATTCAACCTTTATTTAGACAGGTTAATCCCATTGAGCATTGGGGACTCATTTACAAAAGAGACTCACATGTCCAAACCATCTCAGTCTGGTCTCTCTAACTTTATCTTCCAGTTGTTCAACCTGTGCTGTACCTCTGATGACCTCATTCCTAATCTTATCCATCCTGGTCACTCCTAAGGAGTACCTCAACGTCTTCATTTCTGCCGCTTCCAGTTCTTTCTCCTGTCTTTTTGTCAATGCCACTGTTTCCAGACCATTCAACATAGCTGGTCTCATCACTGTCTTGTAAAGTTTTCCTTTGAGCTTTGCTGACACCCTTTTTGTCCCAAATCACTCCTGAAACTTTTCTCCATTTCAGAAATCAACAAATAGCAAAACCAACAACTTTGCATTGACTGATGAAGTTTTCTGGATGGAAGGTGAAACGTTTCAGAAAAAAAAAAAAAAGAAACTGTTCAGATGACCTGATTGAAAATTGTTGGATTGTATACCTGGATTATTGAGCGTGGACTTTTTTGGTTTTGAACAAGTTTGACATGACTGTCCACGAGGAAAAGGGCTGGCTCCAGAGGAGGGGGCGTGCCAAAGACACCATCTTAGCACCAATATAACTGGTTTGTTCCACTTTGGAGTAAGCTGTTTGGGGGACGAATCAGTTTTGTGTTGTGTGTTTCCTTGACTGATGAAGGCTTCCGGATGGAAGATGAAACGTTTCAGCCAAAAAAAAAAAAAGAAAAGAAAAGAAACTATCCAGATGACTTGACTGAAAATTGTTGAACTTTGCTCTTACTTTGAAAAGGCTCACCGGAAGCTTCCAATGTCAGTCGCGAGGCCTGACATTATTCTGTGACGCCATCTTGAAATTGTCCCGACGAGAGGAGGAGACGGACTTCGAAAATCCAGCTCGTCCTGAACGTCGATACCTACAAGACGGTTTTAGTTGCTATTCCACGCACGGAACAGCGTTTGGACCTGTTCGGTGAAACTATTTGGACCCGTGGCGGTTGTTTGGACCACTTCGGAGCGGACTACCACCGTAGGAAGCCGCGCTGCTTCCCCCGCTGGTGCGGACGGATCCCTGGTTTGTGGCCGGGCAGCTTCGCCGGACTAGTCACCGAGAGCGCGGAGTACGACGACAACAAACGGTTTTAACCCGCTGTTTCGACGCCAGGAAGGGAGGGAGTGCAAGTGTCGACGACGTTTTTGACGTTTCCCACCACCCGGGATGTTACGGACCTAGCGGAGGAGAAGTTTGATCAGGGAGCGGAGCGCGCTTGGTTTCCAGTCCGATGGATGTTAGCCCTGGCCGGCTGTGGCTCGGCTCTGCGCGCCGCTCTTCTCTAAAGAACTCCTCGGGCACGAGAAGCGAGCTGCTCACTATAATGCTGCAGACCTTAAAGAACGTGCACGACGGTGCCGTCAAGTCGCGCTTTTTTATTTCTCTGTAAACCTGGAAATATCCCTCTTCATCCCCTCCTTTTTTTTTTTTTTGTGACTGCATTACCCAGGATATTTTGGATTAAGACTTTTTTTTTTTTCTTTTTTTTTTAATGCCTCTTTTCCAGAGACTGTGCTCCTCCTTGGAGCTGCAAGAGATTTAGTTGATTTTTTAAAAATTTTTTGGTTGGGTGGTTTCTTTTTTTAATTTTAAATTTTTTTTAATACAAGTCTTTCTAGCTGCGAGGATCAGATTCGGATGGAAAATGGGAGACGCTACAAAACTGGCCTTCGCCGTTTTCCTCATCTCCTGCTCTTCAGGTGGGTGTGGAGGGTCTGATTTACTGTCAGCTGTGGGGGAATCCAGTGCAAAATGCTTGTTGTTGCCTCTGCAGATTGCTGTAAGAATATAAATAATGGAAAGAAATAATTCCTTGCAGCCTGGGTGCATGTTGCACATTTAGGATGGAGGGGGGGCCTTTGTGGATCCCCTGGGTGAGACATGCTGCTACAAATTGTTTAAACTTGATCAGGGAACAATAGGAGGCTGTGTGAAGAACAGTTTTTTTTTTGCTGTTAAATTAAAGGCTTAGCATTCCTTTGAGTGTATATCGCCTGCACCTTTCATGCCAGAGCTTTAGACTTCTCTTGTGATGAGAAGTAACAGTAGGTGATTTGGTCCAAGCCCCCCCCAAAAATGAACATTGTGCTCAATCTCCTGTGACGTTGTTGTGAAGGACACTCGGCTACTACTACACCAAGACATAATCTTATATCTGGGAAACTGACCGAGTTGCACAAACTCAAGAGCCACGGGCCAAATTTGGTTTCCCCAAGATGATAATTTAAACGTGAAATATTGTCTTTCTTCTAAATTTTTCTTTAAAAAACCCTGATAAATACATAATTTAGTGTAGACTTCTCTTGGCAGCTGGCTAACTTTGGATCCAGAAAGACCGCTGGATCATTCTATCATGATGTGGAAAGAGCAACAGATCAAACTCTTGTTCACGAACCTGCAACCAACAAAAGATATCAGGGTATCTGATTCGAGTTAACGTATCGGCTGAAAGTGGCCTGTGGCTCGGACAGCGTTTTTTTTTTTAAATTTTAGCTCCTTTTGGTAACTGAGTTCGAAGCCCCGATAAGTTGCGGTGGCCATCTTGACTCCAAAACCTAATGGTTACTCTGAAATTTGTAATTGGCCAAGGGCGTCAGAAGCATCTGTAATGTGGGGGGGCATGTCCCCTTCACATATAATGGTTGCGACGCCAATGGACGAGGCGATGCTTTTAAATTGATCTTACGTGGTCTGTATTAGGGGTTGAACGAGTATATAATTTTTAAACTCGACATTAACATAATAAAACCCGAGTAGAACTCGAGTATTTGATGACGTCATAGATCTCAAGATGCATAAATAAATAAATAAAACCGCAAAAAAAGGTAATTATTTACAAAAAATAAAAAAGACCCTACTAAACATTGGGAGCGTATATTATGCTCCTACCATTTATCATACTGCAAATAAGTCACAGGAAAAAACTAAACTATTAGTTATTATTATTAAACTGCAAACGTGAAGAAATGTGCAGCACGTCAAAAACGAAACTGGTTCTGGTTCAGTGGATTGGACCCGGTGTTACACCAAACTCTGTGACCTGCAACAGTGCAACACCGCCCCCTACAGTCATAGTGGTCACATAATATGACGTCACTACGGATACTCGACGTTACATTTTTAACCTCGCTAGATGTCCTAGCAATCGATGTGTAGATTACTTGAGTACTCTGTTAATGCCCTAGTCTGTATGCATTTGGAATGGCTCTCGGCTACTATCGCACCAAATTTTTAGCTCCGTATGTGTGAAACTGACTGAGTTATACACAGTTTGTATTAGCAACTATAGGCTGAAGCGTCATTGCACCTTTGGGAACGGGCGATAATGAGATTGTGAGGCAAATGCTGATTTAAATGTAACGTACGACTGGGTTGCAGAGTGGAAATCTAAGGAAATAATCATTTTTGATTTAAAATAGCACGTGTATCAGCGTACTGACTCAAGGCTCCATTTATATAAAAGAAATTAGATAAATTAAGTGTATCTGGTTTAGTTGGGCCTACATTAAATTGGCAGCATGGTGGCAAAAAAAAAAAAAAAACGCTTTGCTTGTTTTTGTTTATTAAAGATGAATGATTGACCAATGCAAATAACGATGGGGAAAAGGTCAACCAGTGGGGCACGTTGTGTTTTTTTTTCATTACAGTGCTTTTGCTACGCGAGTGGACTAAAAGTTTGACAGAGAGCTGCTTTACTGGTTTATTTTATCGCCGAGATAAATGAGAATGCTACTTAAACATACGTGGCAGGAGGGAGTGTGTGTGTTTTAAAGATATAGTTGATTTGCTGTGCTAAAAGTGGCGTTTTGAAGGGTTTGTAATTGTCTTGTTATTTTCCGATAACACAATCTAGCCTCACACAGGCCCAGAGTAGTGTGGATTAGTGTAACGGGGCCCGGCGGAGTGCGAGCGGCAGATTGAGACCGGTGTCCACGCATGACAGGAAGGTGCCATATTTCAAACCGGGGTTCTGAACTTCCAGTTTTGATAGTGGCAGTTTGCATTATCTGATGATTTTTGACTGGCAGCTGGAATTGCCTAACCAGAGATTGCAAAACAACAAAAAAAAAAGATTTTGACCCCGGGGCAGAATTTCTCAGGTTGACGTGTGCGAGGAAGCATTAAAATCAAGTGGGGGAGCGAGGTTTGTGTCACATTTCGGTCTGTTCGAAACCAGCGTTTGCGTGTTTGTGCAGGAGGACAAAACCAGTTTGTGAGCAGGCCAGAAATTAAACAAAAAACCTCAACGGAGTTGACGTCGAGAAGAAAAGTAAGCTCTTGAGCAGCAGCCGAATGGTTTCACAGTGAGCCCCGGAGTGCTTTGGAGCGTTTAGATGGAAAATGAAAAGGTTTCTCAAATTTGGTAATCGTCAGGGTTGCTCTGAGTGTGAGCCAGGTGCTGTCTGTGTTGCAGAGTGCAGCAGATGATTATCTTACTTGCTCATTACCGTCTGAAGTGGGGGGAAATGAATGGTTTCCACTTGAGGTGGAATAATAATTCACTGCGAAACCAAAGTTGAATTGGCTCGGCTCGCGATGGCACCAAGAAAACCTCCGATAAGGGCAGAGCTCTCGGCTCGCAGTGGCTTTATTTCAGGTGCTCAACGTGCCAAAACACGAGACCACATTGCTGATATATTTAAAGGTTGAGACCGTCCACAGAAATGAGGTTTTGCTGTAACTGTGCCTTTTTTTAATGTTGCTGAAGTCAAAGTCTGCTGTTTGATAACAGGCGTTTAAACAGACAGATGATGAAATGATACAGATGCTGGACTGCAAATAACATTTGGTCCAACAGTTTAGATTTTTGAACACCCTATGTGATAAAATGACAAAAACAAATAAAAATCGACCAATAATTTAACTAATCTATTGAAATATTTGTATGTATGTACGCTTATATATATAAAGTTCTAACTTATATATATTTATTGTTTCCCCTAGATCAGTTCCCTTGGCGGGGCGCTCATTGTATTGTCATGTTTGTTTTTTTCATTCATTACAGGTTAATCCCATTGAGCTTTGGGGACTCATTTACGAGAGAGACTTGACAATAATGCAAGTAAATATATGTATTTGTGGGGTGAGGTCAGTCCACATTACGGTTAGCGTACACACCTGTTGAAAGGGTGCCTGCACCAAAGCCCAATATCCCTACATATATTAATTGGAATTGAAGTGAATTCTTATTTGTGTTGCCCGCCTGCTAACTTAGTGCTACGTTGCTGCCGTTAAAAAAAAAAAAAAAAATCAGTGACGGGAGTGGGGGGGGAGGAGTCACATCTGTGTTGCCCGCTAGCTTAAAGCTGCATTGCAAATGGGGGGTGGGGGTAGTACGTCAGTAGCATTTTTGCTAGCACATTTGTATTGTGCCCCATGCTACATCAATAATGACAGTTGTTGGGGGGGGGGTTCGGAAGGGATGGCACTTGGTTCTGTTGATGGGGCAGGGTACCCCGCTTGTATAATAGTAGAGGAAAGTTTCCCCTAGATCAGTTCCCTTGGTGGAGCGCTCATCGTATTTTATTTGTTGTCGTTGTCTCGTCTGTGTTGCTCAACCGCTAGCTTAGCGCTATATTGCTATGTTGTATTGTAGGCAGAGTGAGCATCAGTAGCATTTTTGCTAACATGTTGAAAAGTGAAAGGGCGATAATACGGTAAATAACCTGTGTGTGTTGTGTTAAACAAATATCACATTAACGACTGGATGACATCCAATGAAACCGTCAAAGTAATCTTTATATGTCTACAGCTGATTGAATTTTGGAGTTAGTCCAAATTAAAATGGCCACCACAAGTAATCCAGATGATCCCATGGGAAAATTTCATTTTTTTTTTGTATTTATTTTATTTATTTATTGTTGGTGCTGTCAATGAACACGTCTGTTCCTGTCAAAGCCTTGGAATTATTATTATTTTTTAGCTTAATCAGAATTGCTTCAAAATACATAAAATTAGAGTAATGTTACTGCCCTCTATCTTCCCTTAAAGGAAAAGTCGACCCCATTGAAATCCATTATAAATGCATTTTTTGATCCCATATTTTTCAAATAAGGTTTTTTTTTTCAGTATTTATTTTACTACTATCTCTCTACTTTAGATTTGTATTTATTTATGAGCATACTAGGTGATGCTCTGCTTTTACTGTAGAAGGATGCTGTAAAAATGTCCGCTAGAGTTGTGCCATTTAGCTAGAAGTGGGGCCTCCTGTGTGGCTGGACATTGCTGTGGAGCCCCGTTTCTCATCTTGTCTGACAAAGTTTTGCACGTGTAAACATTTGGCACCAAACAGCAGAGCCACATGCCTGCTGGTTAAAGAACTGGCTGCTCTGGGCCTCATAATTGCCGGCTCAGCACAAAACGTGGCACTGCCGGCAGATGGACCGGACTGCAGTAGCTTGGTGGTTCGCTGATTCAGTAAAAGTCAAAAACAAAACGCGTGCAGGTGGTGTGCACAAGTAAAGTTTTAAAGGAGAAAAAAAACTCCATGTCTGACCCAACCCTTACGAGTTTGAGTCTAGATGTCATTTTGGCTCCCAGATGTTGGAGAGTATTTAGGGTTGTATGGTCTTCCCAAAACTCCAGACTGGATTATTTAGCACAGGGGTCCTCAACCACCGGGCTGTGGACCAGTACCGGTCCGTGGGTTAAGAAGGAAAAAAAAAACAAAAACAAACTAACACTTCCTCCTCGGTCTGTG